ACCCATTCAAAATAAATTTGAGGTAGAAACATTCTAAATGCACTTAGATTACACTAGTGATTTGATTTGCATAAATCAAATTAGATTAATGAATAAATCAAATCAAATTAGTGATGCAAATCAAGTCACTAGTGTAATCTAAGTGCATTTAGAATGTTTCTACCTCAAATTTATTTTGAATGGGTAATTATTGATTGCGATTCTTTTGCAATGTACTTAATGCAAAGTGATGCTGCTGATCAAAAACGTCAAGGAATCACGAAAGGAAGCACTTTTTTTCCGTGGCCGTTAGGTCAAAAAGCCCGAAATTAATTTCTTCTTATTTCTGTAGCTTTGAGCTGACAATGAACATTTAGGGCTTTTCATGTAAATTCTATAACTGTGCAAAGGAAGGTCGTGTAAAGCTGGGAGATGTCTCATTTCAATCAGAAATGTGCGGGCTACAATCATGCCTCATTAAGAAAGATTCGGGTTTTATTTTAGAGTTTCTGAAAAACTAGTTTTCTAGAAAACCAGGTCTTCGAAGGAATAAGGGCAACCTCATGGTCATATTGGTAATGGTCGATAACCTATAACCCACTAGATTCCGTGCAAAAAGCATTTAATCACCTCGAAAGGTTCCCTCGTGAGAATAGGTAATCAGCTGTGTTATACCACAACACATTAAACATTATAAATCAAGAAAAAACACAGTTGTAAGTTAAGTTTTACTGTTAATCGTTTCTGCTGCACTATTTCCGATTATTGTTTATTCTCCGCACTACTCAAATATCTTCGTATAATTTATGAATTTTAGTTAGTTCTGTCTCGTACTGAATGCCATATTAACAATCAGCGCAAAGTGCTACCTGAAGTCGATTTTTCTGTGAAAAGCCGGTATTGTTATGTGAGTTTTGAAAAATCCACTTATGGTAATTTTTCTCGACTTTGAGATCAAGTTTCTCAGAGATGCCACAACCGACAAAAACAAATGTTCCAGGATTTTGAAGTATCTACTATGTACATCAACATTGAGTATGGGGGACAGTCTGTAAAATTTGCAATGGGCTAGAGGAAGGGATCGGAAATTGGTGAAAATTGAAACTAGTGATCGGTGTTGGTCTACTATTCAGTCTAGAAAACAGCTAAAGTTCCCTTGTTTTCACCCTTAGAAAGCCAATGGATAGAGGATTCTAAATCATATATTGTTGTCCTCATAGAGATATCTGATTGGGGAAAACAGCAAAAATCACGTCTTTGTACAATTTTTCAAACAAAAACACTGGGGAAAAATCTTATGCCTACAAAAAATGTTCATATTCGTTAGTAGTATTTGTAAAAGCAGTTTGAACTTTTCGTTTTCTGAAATGGCAAAGTCATTGCAAAAACATTTTTGTTGAAAAGTCTTTCGGAGCCCTCGCTTGAGGGACTCCTTGCCGTCATTTTGAAAAGTTTTTAAGATATATTTGTGATCACTGTAGTGAGTTCTACTAGTCCTGAAAGTTCCATATGATTGACAGAAAGTCGATGAAAAGTCTGGTACACTTCCGAAACTACCTCACACTGTGCCGTTTTGTTCAGACGATAAATTGATATCTTACCTACAACGAGAAGAATGTTTCTTGTTAGATTTAACGCATCTGGATCACTAATGTTAAATATCAATGGTATCCACTGGAATGTCGAGTAGATGAAGATCATATCGATAAGAACAATAATTATTCCCATCGTATAAGCAATATTTTTACAGTTTTTCGCTTCATCTGGTTTATTTGCACCTAGATACTGGCCGATACGAATATTACTGGCAACAGCAAACGATTGACCAATTAGAAATAGAAATATACCTATTTGATAGGCAACGCTTTGTGCAATGAGTGATGTAGATGAATTTAATCTAGCAGCGAATAGAATGCCTAATTCAAATGCCCACGATTCACTCATTGTGGCTAAAATACCAGGAGCACTTAAACGAAGGTACGTGGACCATTCACGTAAACAGTCACGGTTTAGAGGCTGCCATGTTTCTTTGTAAATTGAAGAAAAACGAATAAATAAAATTTCACATATGATCATGCAAATATAGGCAATGGTTATTGCTATTGGCGGAGCTCTAATACCCAAATGAACAATATATATCAGTATATAATGTAGTAAAGCATTAATTCCATTTCCGATTAGATTAATAATCACCAATGGATATGTGATGCCGTTCGTACAAATATATTTTTGAAGGAGGAGTGAAATACCCTCTAGTGGCACGTAAAGTAAAAATGTCTTAAAGTAATCATCGACTAACAAAACTAGTTGGAGGTCGTTTTCTACCACATTCAAGATATACTTAACGTTTAACATTAATGTCCACGTGATCATTACACTAAAACTGTTGATGATACAGGCACGTTGCAAAATTACACCCTAAAATACCGTGACATGACTATTCCGCGATCGATCCTTTCGCAAATTTTTACGAATAATACAAGTTTGAATATTTTTGACAGTGTGTGGTGGGCGTGGAGATGGGCGATGAGAGTAGTGTGAAAGTGAGTTCGAAGAGTAGTTTCACACAAAAGATATTTGCATGATATACTGTAAATTTACTTGAGCTTTTGAAGTACTTATCTGTTATGTAGTTATTGCAAGATGAAGCGATCACTAAATTGTTACAATGAGTAGATTCAGTAACACCGGTTGTTTTGTTACTTTTCTAAAGTTTAGTTTTCTTAACATCTATTTTCAAAAATTTACGGAAGAGTGGATCGCAGAGTAGTCGGTTAATCCTAAAATACAGTTAAATTACCATAATTGGATTTTCAAAAACTCACATAACAATATGGTTTTTTTCGCAGAAAAATGGACTCTGGGGTAACACTTTGCGTTGACTGCGAATATGGCGTTCAGTATGGGACAGAACTAACTGAAATTCGATTATTTGATCTACGCAACGTCTTTTTTTATCTATTACTTACTTAAAATACATCTCTTAAACTCGATCAAAGTTTTACTATACATACCATTTTACGTTTATTTCCACCTAAAAATAACAAATTATTCTTTGACACAACTAAAGAGATTTTTTTAATCAGTTAAGGTTACCAAAACACTGCGGTAAAAGTGTATCAGCTGCAAAATGAACGCCCCAACATATTGATGTGCCAATCATTTCGTACGTTGAACTAGCCAGACTAGCAGCATTAAATTCCATTTCGCTAGTATGTGCCATAAAGATTTGTGACACAAAAAACATGAGCCAAGTTTCTAAATAAAGGCATGCAATTTTAGATATAATGAATTATTATCATGATTTTTTTTTGTTTACCTAAGATACTACTAAATGCAAACGGAATGGCTATGATAATAAGTTTTTTCACTTCTATTAGAAAACCATGCGAATATAATCTTCGTGATAAACGTTGGAGTCGTGAAATATTTTGTTGATTAACTTGTGTACCTGCTCGTTGTTGCGGTCTATTATTGTGTTCAATTATTTCGATTTTTGTTTTCTTAGTCATTGCCGGACGAACAAAGCCATACAGTATTGAATCGCTCTTACAGGAAAAAAGACAATAGAATCAGCAACTAGTACACATCCCAGACCAACAGTACTGACGATCAGTTTGTTTAGATTTTTCTAGTTTTGATTATAATTCAGCGCAGTATTATGCCAAAGATCTCTTCTAACATTTGCAACTGAGTATTTAGTAATTCTGATATTTCTCTGAGTAAATTTTACATAGCTGTTTGATTATTGGTATATGAGGTTAAAAATCTTTACACTAACCGTGAAGGTGAGTCAACGTGTATAAAGATACAACGTTCAACATACCATACTTTAAGAGTTTTAGACTTTTGAACCTGACATGCAAACAAAAAACAAAAGCGTAAACGATTCTAGTAAAAGTTATAACAGCTTCGGCTTAGTACTACTAAGAAAACAGCAAGAAAGAAAAAAAGAGCTTCAGCTTTGAAAGTGTAAGAGCCTACTAGTGTAAAAATCTATCTTTTAATCTAAAAGTCTGAATGTCTGTAAGTATCAAACTATGTAACGAAGAAAGCAGTTGCGTACTAAAGCGCAGCGTATAAAAAAAGAGATATCAATAATTTGACAGCCCTTAAATTTTACTCGATGGTGTACATTCTCATCCTCTAAATAACCAGTTTTATTTTTCAGCTGATAACCAAGAATATGTAGAACATTATTTGAAAAAAATATTCACTTTTAACATGGTAATAATTAATGTCCCTATTGTAGTATAATGCCACATAACATTTTTGTTTACTTTTAATTTTGGATACAAAACGGTTTTCAAATATTAATTTTACATGTTTTGTCTATGAAACCATAAAATATAATTAAGTCTGATAACAAACACTGACTAATGGAAATACGGCAATATAATTTGTTTTCAATTTTTATTACGTTGAGAAGTATAAAAATGAATTCTCGTTCGAAAATAATCATGGATCTTAAAAATTCGATCTATTTTGGTTTTTTATTTCAATTCATTCAATGTACTGAAAAATTTCTCAAGAATCTAATGATATCATGTCATATTCCTCATCTCTGATACTATTAAGTAAAAATAGAAAGAAAAAGAATTCTTAATTCTATAATGGATCTGTTTAATTCGGAATAGTCTTGTAAAAAGCAGTACGTTTAATTTAAATAATGAGCAATTTGATCCATCGTGATGTTGAACAATCTTAAAACTTTTTATGCTATAGTGTACTATAGACTGCGTTCTTTGAATGGTAAAGAACGTAGTAAAAAACTGATGTTGCTCTTCTGTTCGACAAGAGCTAAATTTTTACGAATGAATATGATCACGTGTTTGAAAAGCCGTCTTTTCCCTATCAGAACGTTTAACTCACATTTCTTTCAATGTAGAAGCCATCGTTCTTTTGCATTAGATGACGCGCTCAAAGTCTCAATTGTGCTTGATTTGGTCAACTTTGAAGATCCCTATTGCATCGAAGCATGGGACTTTCAGTGATATTTTCAGATATACCATGTGTTTAACTGTTTCTCAAACCATTCTGACAATCATAAGTGTTTTCGTTTTCGATATTCATTGCTCCAAAATTACCAGTTTTAGCAATATGCGTCATTTTTCTTCTATACGCTCGTCTCGCGGTTATTATCTTTCCGCGTGGTGACATTGTATTTACAAACTTTTGGTTTTTTTGTGCTTTCCTTTGCTACGAGATGTTTTTTAGGCATAAAAGAAACTTTCAAGTTCAAGTTCATGTTTAAGAACGTTTTTCTCGCGGAATAATAAAAGATGTTTGTCACTCTCTAAAATATAGTTGAATTACATTATGTGCACTAGCATGAGTCGTGCCTACTATCAACCGCTTACGAGGGAAGGTATTCAAGTGTAACGCGGGTTTTCGAACGGGATATATTCTTCACCGTAGTGTGTGATGCGCTGACTACGGTGATAACTTTCTTTTTTTCCAACGGCGCTTTTTTGCAGAGTTATAACATTTTCTATTTTCAACACTACAACGATACACCTCTGAAAAATATATTTTATCTCGGACATAATTAGACGTTTAGGCTCAATAATTTTATATTCTGATATGGCATAGATGAATGTCTGTCATTATGCACAAATATCATTCTTTATTAACACGAGTAGATTTTTAATTATCAACAATATGACTTAATAGGTTGCCATATGTGATGAAAAAAATTATCACATTTTCGGGATTTTTCCTGCCAGAGTTATGCAATTTACAATGCTGATCATGAATCTGATGTCATTTTCTATTCGTTTATCAAAGATGTTCCTTTAGCGTTCAGTGTGCATTTATATTTTTGAGAGATCATATCTCCTGAATCACAAGTGGATATTTTTTAGCCATTGCATGGGTGAAAAGTATTAGCGCTTTCTCTTCTAACTTATTTTGAGATTGAATTCTTTAAAAAGAAATTTGAAATACTACAGTAGAAATTACTACAAAATATAAGAATAAATGTTGTAAAATAAATGACAGGACATCTAGTGAACATGATAATTTGTGTAAAAGTGTTTGAAACAGAGAATTTCTCTACAATAACTACAGGATACAAACGAACATTCGACACAGCTTTTTGTAGACCAAACATCATCCGTAAATGAAAAACAAACTTGTTTCACGTTTAAAAATGCTTCTTTCGGTTTCAAACACTTTTTCACAAATTATCATTTTCACTAGATATCCTATCATTTATTTTACCTTATAGGTGGGACATCTACTTCAAATGAAAGAAGGTTCCATAGTTACATCCGCGCTTTATTCTTGACGCGATTATGTTGCGGCCGCGAAAAATTGGCGAATGCGCCGCGAAAATTCTAGCACATCGCGCTTCGAGTCGAGTCGTGTTCTCGGTTAAGATTAAGTCGCGCTTGCGCGTCAAAACAAATCGCGTCATGTTTAAGATTTAAATCAGATTGTATCGCTTCCCGGCTTGAGTCGCGTTGTGTTCGCAATTTATATCAAATCCGATCGCGTTCATGATTCAGATAAAACAAAAACATAAAGAACTGATTTTCTAAATGGTTTCTTATGACTAGCAACAATAAAGGATATTTCTTGCAAAACTCCAATAATATTTGAGTAATTTGATGATACGTTGACTTTTTCCTATAAATACTGAAAGATA